AAAAAAATATATGATTATTTAAATAAATAATTGACCATTTTATAAATGCATCACAAATACAGTTAATAGTAAATTATACTGTGATTATTTTTTGAGTGCAGAAATCGGACCGGATTCATTTAAAACTGTAATCCAAATGCATGGAAAGTTTATATGCAATTCAAACAATTAGCGCTTAATAAAATCCAGATTGTTTCAGAGCGGCTTCACAGAGATGAACAGGGAAATAACCGTGTTAATATTGTACAATGTTTCAGTTATGAAACTAACTGAATTTTAGCTGTGAATCAGCTCTACAGAAGACATTATTCAGTTCAATAGCAGTGTCAGTGTTTCAAAGTTCATCAGTTACGACACAAACATCTGCATCTTCATCTCAGATCGTATTAAAGCAGCTGTTAATAAACATCTGAATGTGGATCAGTTATCCTCTGAATCCTGGAAACACTATTTATCCGTCTATATATCCTGAGAGAGACGAGTGACGCCTGCTAATGCTGTGTTTTACCGCTGCAGTGGAAAGATGCCAAACCGGACGACCTGATGGACTCCAAGCTGCGCTGCATGTTTGAGATGCCTTCAGACAGTGAGAAGCTGGTGAGTCTGTGTTTGCTCACGGTTATAAATCACTAGCACTGTTACTCACTCCTGCATTCTGCACCGGCTCTGATCAGAGCGAGCTGGAGTCCACCAAAGCCTCGTCTGCTCTGAACGCCTCGAAGGCCGCCGGCAGTCTGTCCACGGACGACACGGAGATGAGGAAGCTCATGGAGGAGAGCAGGAGACTGCAGACAGAAGTGGGGAAGCTGCTCGACGAGAACCGCCAGCTCAAGGTACTGGAGAATAACTAGTGTCTGTGTGTCTCCTGATTCACTCGTATTGACCCAATAACACAAGATTACTGAGATTCACAAACAGAACCTGCTGGAAGCTTCATATAGCAGTCATTTAACATGTTCATGGGCCTCTAATGGTCATTGATGGTCACATGATGATATGCAGGTAAACAAATCAAATGTGAATACTTTAGTTTTTATTTTTATGAATTATAATTGATTTCAAATAAAATATGAAATCTTTTTTTGGTAAATGTTTTATTTTGACTGTGTTTTAGGAGACCAATCAGATGGTTAATAATTAGTAGTACTTTTTTTTTATTTGAATTTTTTTATATTCATGCCAAACAACTTTTGCGTTAAATTGTATCAAGTTGTAACAAGTGTAAGCAAGTGATTGTAACAAGTAAAAAATACACACACAAAAAACACCAATATAAAATAACTTGTATAAATAAATGAAAAACAGTCATATAAAGTTAAACTTTTACTTTTCAGAGATTTTTGTTTTTTATGGCCATCAACGACAAAACAGGAATTATAGTCTACCAGAAAAATTGACAGTAACAGATTCTTACCCCAAAATATGCATGAATGTATGAACAATTTACAGACTATAATAAATCAATTACTAAATAATAAAGAATTTGAGTTGTGATCGGGAAAAATAATATTAAGTGTTCACACACATTGTTTTCTCTGAGAGATACATAGCTATTTTACCTCCATTTCTAAAAACCGAGGACAGAAATATAGGCTGTTACTGGTGTAAAATAACTTAATATTCCATAATTATAAGTTAAAATATGATATTTATGTCTTCAAAACATTCAAACCCTTGAGCTTTAAACATAGTCGTTTTATAAATAATAATCTGCAGAAATGAGTTTGGACTCGAAAGCTTTGGCATCAGAACATACAGGAAGAGTTTCTGGTAAACATTATTATTATTATTTCACAGTTGTGTGTTGATCTGAGTCTGAGAGCAGAAGCGCTGTGAGCACTAGGTGGCGTAACCAGCTCAATATAATTAAAGATCAGTGACGGTAATGCGATATATCACCATATTGTTATTGTGGGCACTTAAAAATACCGTGAATAATTATTTAGCCTATTACAA